AAACTCGCTGGGTGCCAATGCTGGTCCTGCAGGTGCTCCTGCTGATAATGCTCCAATGATGCCAGGGCAAGGAAACAACATGGCCGGGCCGGGCCAGGGAGGCTTCCCCAGGGGTCCCGTCGGCCCTGGAGACTATGGACCCAACAAGCAACGCAGATTTTGAATAATATGCTTAAAATCCTTTTTCATACTCGCTGTATTTTAAAGTTCAGGTAGTGTGGGGTTACTGGTTGAACAGGTGACAGTTGCATGAATTTAGCGGCCGCTACAGCGTCTGTTTTTTTGTTTTAATTCTTTACCTTTTTTTTGTACCTTTTTTTTTTTTTTGGGTTATGTCTTTAGTACTAAACTGTCATAACTCTGAATGAGCCATGTGTTTTACTTTTATTTCCCACATAATTGTATTTTTCATTTGGATAGATAGAGTTTTTTCGTCCTGAAAATGTCGGCTTTTCTGAAATAAATTCATGTATCCCTAAGAATTTAGATTTTTCAATGTTTTTCAAAGCAGCATAAGTGACTCCATCAAGACACATTTTATCTACATGATGGTCATTTATAGGTGGGGGTGTCTCACACTCTTGGTTCAGTTGGTGTTCACAGCTGTCAGCTGGATACCTGGATTAGAATATTGATTTAATGATGAATGGCCTGAATCACAGTTAGGGGTAGGAATCTTTGCTTTTCAGCACAGCTGCAGCGTATAATGATAAAGAGATACATTTAGGCAAAGTCATTGTTTTTCATGCCCTGGGCATTTTTGAGACTTTGAGCTATTTTTCTTCCATAACATGACTTCTTTCATGCTAGTGAAAAAACTCATCCAAAAATACACATTTATCTGTTTATTGACTTTGTCTTAATTTCTTCTTGAGATTTCTCCACTGTTCACCTAAAGTTAGCTCACTTAATACATCATTTGCATAGTTAAACATTTCAGAAAGATCTTTCAGTTTCATGGTGATATCTGTTTAATAAATATTTTTACCCTATTCTCCTGTTGTGTCTTTCAAAATGTATTGGTTTGTACATGTACACTTGCCAGGGGTGAGAAAGATAAAACAAGATACATAAGGAAAAAAACAAGAAAACGGTGAATATAATTGTATATTTACATATATTATGTTGTATTATTCTGAATCTGGATCTACAAATTAATTTAATACATCAAATTCACATACTGAGTAAAAAGTTCAATAGTTGCTCCTCAGATGGTGGAATATAAATAACCAGTAACGTGAAATAAAAAATTTATGAAAGTACCTAAAATATGTACTTCAGTACAGTATTTGACTAAATATACCTAGTTAATGTCCACTACCGACTAGAGTAGATACATTTCATTGATCTTAGCTTGGGAAATTGTTGCAAATAATAAAAAATATGATCAAATTAAAATAAACAAACAGTACATTTAGAGACATTAACAGTAACAACAATAATATCTTTAGTATATAGAATATATGATACAGAATGTGTTAGGATTACAGGTCTCAATTTTCCCTCAAGCTAAAGTTTTCCATACGGCTCTGTGTATTGCTTTTTTCAAAGTTTAAAGGTCTAACTTTATCAATCCTAGCAGAGTGTGTAAGTTAAAATATTCATGTATTTAAAGGCATTTTAGCTCGCTACTGGTTCAGATCTCAGTATCGTTCAAGGCCATGACAGCAGTATTGAAGTTTCATGGAGAAACTCCTCAGTCTGCCAAGATGAAACCCAAACACACGGCATGCAGAGAAAGCCTGGTTGTAAACAGGGTGTGTGTTAATGGAGGCGGACCGTAACAGCTGGTTGCATAATATCCAAACAGTGTCAGAGTGCATCTGCCAGACGACCGGGTTATGTCATTACAGTCTTTGGGGTTTTGGTTGAACAAGTGCCCAAACATCTATGCAAAAAGAGAAAGGGTTAAGTGAGGGATGGGAAATTAGTCTATTAAACATTACATCAAATAGCTTATGGAAAATTCTCATGAAAACGTGCAAAACATATAACACTGAGTTGTATAAAATAAGCTGATATGTCTCCCGTTACAATAAGGAGAATGTTTTATTTTTACTTAAGGGCTCTCCTATCTACAACTTTATCCTTTAAAAAAGAAATACCTAAAAGACTTAAAATGACAACACAATAAATGTTATAAATCAAGTCAATACATTTAAAATAAAAAGTATGAGTGCATGGTTACAAATAGGTTAAAATACAAAGCGTAATAAGTAAACATCCCTCCAAATTGAAAATATATTTATCAGTTATTTGAACATTTAAAGCATAGAGCCTTCAGGGATCTCACTGTAACATAGTACGAAAGATCATCTCTGGGTTGCCTGCTGTGCAGTGTGTTAATCTGCCTCACGCAAAGGTTTTATACAATGAGATAAGAAAATATAAACCTTAATCAATCCCGAGAAGGACATTCAGGTTTCATGGCAACAACAGATATGAAAAAGAAACAGAAGAAAATAGGTAAGACTTCAGAACTAAACCAAGATGAAAAGAGGAAGAATATCAAGCCGGACCCATGAGTGAACGTACAGTCTATCAATAAAGAAATACGGATGTACACATATATGCAATCTATCAATAAATAATCTCAAGTCTATCCATAGATATAAAGGATGATGGTCAAGGCCTTTGGATTAAACTAGCCTTCACCTGTATCTGAGTCCATAAAGTCCTGAGCGTCCTGCAGGAGTGACAGCTGCATGAATGTTGATCGATAACTGGATCATAAAGAGGGGAAAGTGTGTGTTATCTGGACGAGAGATCTGCAAGGTCTAAAAACTGGATAGATAAGTACTTTTGAAAGATTCCGTACCTTGGATGATAGATGGTATATTGATTGTGAAACTGAGGCCTTTAAACCTGAACCCAAAAACACATCAATGTCATCAGTTATTCCTTATATATCAACCACTTCAGATCCGTCAACACTCTCACATCATTCAAACAATCCCTCAAAACTCATCTTTTCACTCTTGCCTTCAACTCCTAATCAACTAACCCCTTGCCCTTATTCCACCTAGTTTGGCACTTTCTACTTTTGTTGTTATTTTTGTTTTACTTGCTTGTAAGCGCTTTGAGCACCAGGAAAAGCGCTTTATAAATGTAATGTATTATTATTATTATATTTTAAATAATACATTTGAATAATTATACACGCCTGCATGATTGTGTAAATATATGTCAGACCTTTCAATCTAATATGCCAGTTTACTTGTCAGGAGCTTTGTATATAAATAAGTGTTTTTATTTATAATTATTTAAGGAACAAGTGTCAAACACACGTTTGAATATATTTGTATAAATCTATATATTAATTATTTATGAAATGTTATTAGTACATTTAAATCATAGTTCAAATTGTATACAACTACAAAACAAATACAGCAAATCTACTTGTAAATACACACTGTATTTATCGTGCTATTATTTATGATTTTATGTGGCGTTTGGCAAAAGAGGCTGTGTGGATTCAAATTCACAGGGAATAAATAACATTAAAAAACACACATATTTTTAAAGTCAAGCTGTTACAGCGAAGCCCAAAGTATTGCAGGACAAATTCAAATGTAGCTTCCCGTTTATGGATTTGGGGAATTTCCCAGGAGTAGTTTCTTCCAAAAATGCAGACTTGTGTTGAATTTTTGCAGAAACACTTAATGAATGAAAGTCCCGTGCATGCTCATGTTGAGCTTGGCCCTCCTAAATAATGGATGCCAGTACAGTGTCTTCCTCTGAAGGGCATATAAAGACGATAAAGTAGTGGGAATAAAGTCATTAAAACATAAATAAACAATAAAACAGCGCTGCACAGGTACTGTTAAAAAGAATAAATTGCTTGTAATGTTTGTTAATCAGAATCCTAACCTGGTTTATTGCTAAGTAGGATATCAGTATATAGACATAGGTAGAGGGGAAATCCAGGAGTTTAAAGCAGCAACAGAGTGAGAATGAAAATCAGGACAGTACATATTCACACAAGGATGATACAATTAAAAATAACATTACAAAAACAGAATTGTGTAACAAAAATACAGATTTCAACACAGATAGTGAAAAAAAAACACAAAATGTGTACAACATATCCGAATTAAAGACATTTAGATTTTTGGTTTGCTGGCCAAGTTACAACGTTCCATATGTTGCCGTGACTTATCAGCACTGTAGAGAACAAAGAACGTATCACCATATCTGCCCTTTTTATTCTTGTCCTTTTATCACAACATTTGAATTGTTTATCTCAGCATGACCTTGAAGCATGATAACAACATGATAATAAAGTTGATTTGATATTGGAGGATGTGATCCAGGAACCGAATAGTCTTCTAATTATATCAATATGAATTTGGCTTGGAAGAATATCCTCCTTGTATTCAGATTTGAAAACTTATTTAGTTTCTTTTTAAAAACATTTTATACAAGGAAGTGTTGTAAGGAAGTGTTTATTGGAAATGGGCAGATAAGCTCTCTCTCTGCAGTTCATATATTTGACAGCAGTGCAACTGGAATGAGGGTCTAAAGGTCACGTTCAGTGAACAGATTGATCTGCATCAGTCCGACTAATGTTTCTACAGAAACACAAAAAACAAGTTGCTGTAAAAATAAATGATTGGAGATCTATTTACACTGGGTGTGGTTGTTTCTTCCTCTTCGCCTGTAGTTTCTACTTGCTGATTGGGATCACCCCAGCAACCCTATCGAAATCCCACCCATGTTATGTATCATGAAGAGGAATTTGATCATCCATAGCTGCGATTGGCCAGCCGTGGAATCACACCAGATAAGATAGGTGTGACATCACAGGAGTGGGGACTCAGTACATGTTGTTTCACCTTCCCCAACCTGTCAGACGGACAGACGGACTAAAGGAGAAGCTGTCTCCCACTCTGTCCTTTGTCTAATGTATCTTCAGGTAGGGCAGCAGTGATCAATAAACACTCCCTTACACTCTGTACCTGAGGAGCCTTCTTTACCTGCTGCTGGAAAACTCAGGAATCATGAACCGTGTCGCAGCCCTCATCACTTTTCTGACCTTCATGGTAAGTTAGTCTGGAAACCTTTCTTTTGGAATGGGTACTTACTGTACACTTATTTAAGTCCACTATGGACGAGTATAAGGGCTAGACATAAGGGGGGGAGGGGGAAATGAGGGGAGAAGTTTGCTTTCAGCATTTGGAGGATAAAGTCCAGTATTTGCCACTGTGGCTAGTCATTTGATTTATTCTCCAATGTTCACTGTTTACTCTTAGCAATTCTAATGTAGTCTCAAAATGGCATTTCAACATCATTCTCAACATTTCAAATTTACATTTAGACTTCATGCTTAAATTCAAAGAGAAACAATGTTCCTTCTCTGATCAAAATTTAAATCTGAGATTTCAACTCTTTTCTCAACATTGCTAATTTATGCTGAAGATGCAAAAAAACCCGTCCTCCTCTTAGGTTAGGATATGATATGTGTGACCAGGATTGTACATTTGAGAAACACAAGTAATTTATCTTCTAATTAAGATACTTAAACACCAATATAAACACTACCACGCACAAGGAAGTGTTTTATTCAACTATTATCTAGATGCAGGCAATCATAAAATGACTAGCGATTAATGTGGTAAACAGTAAAACACAATAAAAGACAAAAAAAACCTGATGTTTAATCGTTTGTCAAATCTTTGCACCCAACGCAAAGGTTAGATACGTGTTATTTAAGGCAGCAAAGGCCTAGTAAGTCTTTACAATATTTAGCCTAATGCTAAACTAAAATAAACACAATAGATATTGTGATGTGTTTTTATTTTGGTATTTAAAGTCTTCCATACACCTGAAAGTGCTATTGAAATAGAAGCATAACACATATATAACATTAAGTAATCAAATATAGACTCTTAAAAATCGAGTTGTGTCAAGATGCAAAAGATCAAGTTGAAATGCGGACCTTTAGAAAGGTTTTTAAAATTGGATGGGAAAGGTCTTTTAGAGAGAGGTCCATATGGATAAGTAATTCATCATTTTACCAGTGTAAGTCGTTTTTAATAAATACATTTACAATAATGTAAAGATGATCATTAAAGACCTTCTTTAATATAACAATTATATATCAATTTGTTACAGATTTACCTGTAACATGTTTGAACTTGAACATATTTGAATGTTTTACAATTGAATTGTCTAGCGATCAAGTGTTAAGTATAGCTCACAGGGCGGGACACACTGTAGCCTGCAGCAGTAAAGTTATGACGCACTCAACCTTTATTCAGGTAGTTATCATTGTAGTTATGTTGACTACAGTGTGTCTATTTGGTTAAAAAAAAAGCTGTACATTATAGACTACAAAATTGTGATACAACATGAAAAGTCAGTGTCTTTAGGTTGAGTAACTATTAACTTCCTCTATCTGTTTCTTACTTCCTTTTTTTCACTTACCAGCATAATGTGGTTTCTCCTCCTGTGATTATTTGTGACGATTCTTTCTTACGTGCAGGTTCTGTCGGAGGCCCAACACGAGCCGGGCTTCTGCTCCTTCTATGAGGAGTGTGGTCGCAACCCCTCAGTGGGAAGCGCTCTCCTCCCCCCCACCGTCCCCTGTCTGGACTACAGCCGAGCCCGAGCCCTCACAGGGGACCACTACAGGAGACTCAAAGCGGTCTGTAGATGGTGACAGTGTGTCACATTTCAGCATTAAAACGTCTAAAAACAACTCGAACAAAGTTATATATGTTGTTTGTTTGTGCACTTATATTCTCAAATATTCTCAATTAACATATTTTAATTGTAAAAAATCTGAAATGTTGAAAAACTACTTATTTAGTTGCTTTAAATGGTGATAAATCTCATTTGCGCAATCCCCAACATTGTCATTTTGTAGACATAAATTGACTTTTTTTTAAGCCTTTTTTATACTAACAGCTTTTTTAGATCCTGGTCTCTTCTAACTAAATATTTGTATTGGATGAAGGCCCCAGCTTTTAGTCACATAGACATCTGTATCTTAAGTTAGCAGAGGAATAACCTTAGCCAAGCGGCAGCCGGGCAGCAGGAGAGCAAGTCAGATATTTTTACATAAAAGTGATTTATTCTCTGTTTTTGAACGTTTTTCATCAATGAGTCTTTTTTTTTATGAGAGGAAGCCACCTCCGTGGATAATTCGGCTTCCAGTCAAATCCTGAATGATGAAATATGATTTTATCCTAAACTGTAGAATATAACTACATGTATTATCCCACGCTATATATCATGATGCGACCAAATTCAGATTTTTGCAGTAAAGCATAAAAATACATACTGTGAGTTTAAGTGGAGCCCAGAACAGGAATAAAGCATGGTAGACTAGTTTTAAGTGTTTTTTGTGAATTCTTAATTAATAATTCTTATGTATTGTCTTGATAGTAAGTATTTGGGTCTGTCAGTTTATAAACAGCCCCTGTTCTTGCTGCAGGTGTGTCCCTTCTTGGACCGTGGAGAGGGCAACACGTTCGCCTGCTGCTCCAAGAAACAGCTGTTCTCCCTGGAGATGAGTCTGACTCTGTCCAAGGCGGTGCTGGTCCGCTGCCCGTCCTGCGCTGAGAACTTCGCCCACCTGCACTGCATCAACACCTGCAGCCCCAACCAGAGCCAGACGGTGAAGGTCACAAAGGTCATGAACGTCACCGAACTGAATACGACCAATGAGGTGGTGGTAGCTTACCAGGCGTTCCTCAGCACCTCCTTCTCAGACATCTCCTTCGAGTCCTGCAAAAGTGTCAGGATCCCCGCCACAGGAGGCTTCGCCATCGCCACCATGTGTGGTCGCTACGGCGCCAAGCTGTGCACCCCCCAGCGCTGGTATGACTTCCAGGGAGACTCCAGTAACGGCCTTGCTCCACTCGACATCGACTTCCAGCTGGTACCACCGGGAGTCACCGAGGGACTACCTGCGGGGGTGATTCCCTACGCTGGACGGGCTCTCCGGTGTAACGAGACCACGCCCTCCGGGGGTCAGGACTGCTCCTGCCAGGACTGCCAGGAGTCGTGCCCCAGGATGCCGCCTCTCAATCTGCCCCCCGGCCCCTTCAGGCTGCTGGGGACCGACGGCTTCCTCGTGATTGCTATCCTCTTGCTCTGTCTCCTGTTGTTTTCCTTCATTTTCTACCTCGCCGTTGCTTACCTGGTGAGGTCCAAGAAAAGAAAGGATGAAGAGAAAGGGAAGAGGAAGGGGAAAGGCAAGGACCAGAACAGTAATGATGTGAATCAGCGGCTCATTGATCCGTCAGAGGTGACCTGCGCTGAAAAGAACAGCCTGGTTGCTCAGGCCTTCCTCAGCTTACAGTTTCGATATTGGGGAACCCTCATGGCTACTTATCCTCTCACGGTGAGTTCCACCACAATTCTTGTTGAATACATAATAACAGACATTAAAATAGACATCTTGTTTCACTTTAAAAGTTAAAGACTATTTTACTTTTGTTGAACTCATTCTTGGCATTCTTGAAAGGCAATTCAAAGACTCTAAATGCAAAAAAGCTGCAAAGATAAGTCAACTAAATGATAAGTCAATAATTGGAAACAATCGCCAGTCATATAATCATCAAACAAAATGTTCCATGCAAGTCAGCGGCGGCCTCTTAATTAGTTTGGGTATAATTTCATACATTTCAGATTTTGTTGCCCCAAGTGGCAGTACCAAACAGATCAGTCTCGGGACACTGGGAAGCCAATCAGAGTACATTTAAAAAGTATTGTTCCATTGTTGTACAGACAAAAACGTATATACATCATTTTAAATGCTTACAATTCTTCACACTATTGTTTTGAGATGTTGAGTTTCAGTTCATTTTTTTCTTCAATGAAGGTGCTCCTGTTGTCGGCTGCAGTCACGGCTGTCTTCTCTGTGGGCCTGAAGGACATCGAGCTCACCACGGACCCCGTGGAGTTGTGGTCTGCCCCGAAGAGCCGCGCCCGGCAGGAGAAAGAGTTTCACGACACTTTCTTCGACCCCTTCTTCAGGACCAACCAGCTGATCTTGACAGCGCCGGGCAAAGAAGGCCACATTTATGACTCTTTGCTGTTTGGAAAGCAGAACTTCAGCGGGATTATCTCCAAAGATCTCATTATTGAGCTGATGGAGCTCCAATCACGAATCCAGGTAGAGAGCCTATAATCAAAGCAAAACATTCACCACAACACAAGTACAAACATACCGAAATAATACGGACCTTACCTCAAATTAAACCCATCTTTTACCCCTCCCTACATCCCCTGCAACCAAGATTACACTCAAAAATATACAACTATAAAATTAGGAGTCCCTTGTCCACTGCTGTTGGGGTTTTTCGCCGGTGTTTCTCCAAAGATGGTGGCCAGTTGGGCCTGTTGGGTATATTTTGGCTATTCCATCACACTGACACCTTTTCTTTGCCCTTTTTAGAACATTGAGTTCTGGTCAGAGGATCTGAACCGCATTGCGAGTCTGAAGGACGTCTGTTTTGCACCGCTGAACCCAAGCTACCCCAACCTGAAAGACTGTGCAGTCAACAGCCTGCCGCAGTACTTCCAGAACAGCCTGGACAACCTGAACGCCAAGGCCAACATGACGGAGTTGGGAGTGACCAAAGAGGTGGACTGGAGGGACCATCTGATCTACTGCCTCGGGTGAGCATGCATCTAAGCTATTTATAAAGCACATTTAAAAAATACCACAGTTGGAACAAAATCCAAATAAGTGACTAGAAAAGTACATTACAAAGTAAGGATGAAAAAATCTATAACCTTGATAATATCTATTATTATATTAAGAACGTCAAGGTGTCAAACTTAAATTTGAAAAGCAACAGTGGATGATTTATTAAGGACTCATACATTTTACTTATATAAATAAATAGCCTTGCGTTGAAGTACAGAGAGTACTCAGGTTGCCAATTGGCCCATTTGAGAATTATATATTATTTTGCTGAATTGTAAGTAATATTATAAAAATGCAATAGTGGTTGGCTGGTAAAGATGCGGCTAATTTCAATCACTCATAAAGTTAACTTCATAATGATTATTGTTTCTTCTGTTTTTATATTTTGTTCTAAATATGTAAATCTGCCTTTACTCTGTAATTTAACATAACTTCTCTTCTTCCATCTCCTCTGAAGCTCCCCCCTGTCCTTCAAAGACATCACTGCTTTAGGTTTGAGCTGCATGGCGGATTACGGAGGTCCAGTCTTCTCCTTTCTGGCTGTGGGAGGCTACGAGAGTGAGTGACTTTCTTCTTCTACACAGGAAATATCTGCACAATAAAAGCAAATCAAGGTTATATAGCACTCTTCAGCAACACGGCAATACAAAGCAACACAATAACAAAAGGACATTGAAATGCAATTAAAACGCCATGAGAAATTAAAAACATGCTGAAATAGAATAAGGCAATATAATTCTAAATGGCTATCAATAACAAGAAGAATAGTTACAGTGCAAGAAGTGAATTATTATTTGATTTAATAAAAGGCAACAGCAAACAGAAACCGAAGGCTGCTTCTACGTGTTTAGATCCTGAGAGGTACTCATGATTTAGAAGATGGATTCATTAAACAATTGTTATCCTGCTTTTCTCAGACGACGACTTAACTAATGCTGAGGCTCTCGTCATGACCTTCTCCCTCAATAACTACGCTCGTACCAACACCAAGTTCAAAGTGGCCATGCAGTGGGAGACGGAGTTCCTTAAAATTGTCCAGGATTACCAGAAGAGCCCGAGCTCCAACTTCACCTTTGCATACATGGCAGAGGTACAGTAAAATATGAAAACTCTCATGCTGTATCCTGTTGAATTCTCTCTTCTTTTTCTATCCTGTCATCATTTTCTTGAACTATTTAGCCCCTAATTATTTTCTTCTCTCTCCAGAGGTCTCTGGAGGATGAGATTAATCGGACAACAGCAGAGGACATCCCCATCTTCATGATCAGCTATGCTGTGATCTTTGTTTACATCGCTGTAGCACTGGGGGAGTACTCTTCATTGAAGCGCATACTGGTAAGACTTTAAAGAGTAATCCCTATCTTCTTTATAGTGCAGTCATATTACTCTGCTTTGTTTTAGCTACTTGAGGTTGCTAGGGCCTTCACTATGGTTCAGACTAGTCAAGACATATTGGATGGATTGCCTTCAGTTTGTGTACAAGCATTCCGAGTCCTTCAGACTTTAACAACAGGCTTTGATGATCCCTTAGCTTTTCCACTAGAGCCAACATGAGGTTCACATTGAGGGTTTTGAGTGAACATTTTTCCCAACTACTGCATGAGTTGCCTTGAGATGTATCAAGACTGAGTTCTTACCGCAATGGCCCATGTTTGAAACCGACTTATGGCCCTTTGCCTTTAAGGTATTCCCTTTCTAACCACCATTGTTACTAACCCTGCTTCCTTGCACATTCATGAAGTCAAAATGTAATCACCATAAAAAAGAGAAAGGCACACAAGTTTACCGGCAACCCGAAAGGAGGTTATCACCTGCTTCGATGGGTTTTCAGAGAGATGCAGTAGAAAATGCATATACACACTTATTTTGGTGGGAAAAAAGGTTATCATCTTGTTAAGTTGCTGCTAGATAACATGTTGTTTTACTATTAAAAAAACAACTCCCTTGGGCCACATCCAAGAAGGTAAAACTGATAAGCCCCGTCTTATCACATGTATGATAAGGAGAAACGTATATCTGCATCAGCTGTATGGTGATAATCTCTACAGTGAAGCACCTAGGTTATAGCCCATTATGTTATACAATACAGAAGATATGATAGAGAAAAAGATATGGCTCTCAGAAGGTTCACTGAGTTTGTTCCACATCTGGATCTTACCTCTGCGTCCTGTAGGTGGACTCCAAGTTCCTGGTGGGTCTGGGTGGGATCCTGGTGGTCGGCTGCTCTGTCCTCTCCTCCATGGGCTTCTACTCCTGGATCGGCGTCCCCTCCTCGCTCATCATCCTGCAGGTCGTGCCTTTCCTGGTGCTCGCCGTTGGAGCCGACAACATCTTCATCTTTGTTCTGGAGTACCAGGTGTGTACTTGTTTGTGTACACCAGTATTGCTGACTTTACAGGATGTGAACTGTAAATAATTGTTGGATGTAACTCCACTCTTCCTTTCCTCGCAGAGAGATGTGCGGATGCCTGGAGAGAAGAGAGAGGAGCACATCGGTCGTGTGCTTGGAAACGTAGCTCCCAGCATGCTCCTGTGCAGTCTCTCCGAGTCGATCTGCTTCTTCCTCGGTAGGAATCTTTGCAATAAGTAAAAAAATACATGTCTGTGGAGACATCAAAAATATGTATCATGTCAGCACCCTAAAAAAACGTGAAATATCAGATTTATAAATGTATACTTTCTTTAATAGATATATAACTATTTTTGTATAATTGTAGTTTTACTGAATGAGTGGTGTTTTAATACACTACATTCGACATAACAAGTTTGTTACCAGCAGTGAAACACTTTTTTTTTAAAGGCTAAACACCCCAAAAATTGGGATTAAAGACGAATATTCTTTTAGATAAAATTGTGTTCTTTTTATTATATATTTTTACTGTTAAACTTTAAAACGCTCTGGAGTTTTTTTGGATATTTTTCGATCACAGTTATATGCAGCCTCCCCTGGTATCAATTTTGACAAATACTTTAATAACAATACTTTTGTAACCTAGTCTTTATCCGCAACTGTGTGGAAATACAGGATTAAAACAGAATGAATAGACAAGCAAAACATTTTCTATAACTGTATCTTGTTTTGTTCCCCAGGGGCCCTGTCCACCATGCCAGCGGTGAAGACCTTCGCTCTGTACGCGGCTTTCGCTGTGCTCATGGACTTCGTCCTCCAGATGACAGCTTTCGTGGCACTGCTGTCACTGGACGCCCGTCGCCAAGACAAAAACCGCTGTGAACTGGTCTGCTGTGTCACAGTATCGAAAAAACGTCCCAACGAGCCTAACGAGGGCTTCCTGCTCCCGTTAATGAGGAAATACTACGCCCCTGTCCTCCTGCACAGCTTCACCAGGTTTATTGTGGTAAAGCTACATCCCCGTTAACTATAACATAAGAGAGTCCTTCTGAACATGGTTTACCTCTGATGTGAAATCTAAGTTTAGCAATGACATCAAGTAAGATGATCATGCTCTCATTTAAAAAACGATTCCAGGACTAATTTAACTGGACATTTTTATTGAATACATCAGTGGTGTAAGAAGTACTCAGTCATAATACCTCTTTACTGTTATCTCTTCAGATGGTGGTCTTCATCTCCGTGCTGTGTGGATCTGTATACCTCATGTTTAATGTGACTGTGGGTCTGGATCAGGAGCTGGCTATGCCTGAGGTCCGTCAGCACCTCCATACATTTCAATTAACGGTTGCTCACCAATGTTTATGTAAACTAACATATATTATTTATTTTTTGGTGCAGGGCTCTTACATGCTGGACTATTTCAAGTACCTGTACAAATACTTTGAAGTCGGAGTCCCTGTTTATTTTGTAACAAAGAAAGGCTTTGACTTCACCGCTGTGAAGGGCATGAATGGAGTCTGCTCCAGCGTGGGCTGCGATCAGTACTCACTCACCCAGAAGATCCAGTACGCCACCAACCACCCTGAACTGTGAGTTTATCATTTTCATGATCTATGTAGGTCAAACTGTAGGCTATAAACAAGATGTGCACTTTTATTTGATAACAAATTGTGGCTCAGCTAAACTCTTCAACATTTTGTGAGGTGAGACACTGCAGGCAAAACATATTTTTTCTATGCACTGGTCAATTTGGAGAGTTTGGGCTATTTCCGTTTCATAACATAAATGATGTTGGACTTGTCGAAAAGAAAATATCCAAATTATACATTTAATTGTTTTTTTACTAAACTTGGCTATTTGCCAAACTACAGAAGAAAAATATGAATAATATTTTCTTTAATTTAAGTACTGTACTGATGGTGATATGATGCTTTGATGGTATATATGGGTTAAAACAAATTGTACATGCCATGTCTCACTTTAAGGCCAGAGGAACAAAAAAGAAGACAATTATTTAGTCCTGTGTGTTGTGCTTTCAGGATCAATTTGGCGTTTATCTCTGTGAATTATTATATTCATTTATTTATTTATACATTTAGATATAAATAAAAGCTAGTTTTGTAAATTACCAAGAGTACCCAGGGCCTACTGGTGAGAGTAGCTGCTCTACATCAGCCAGTGGCTCAGTGCAGATTGGTTCTCTGCCTTTGTCCTTCACATTTCTCATTTTACAGTGACTCATCCTTGAACCTGCTGGTATCATGGTAGCAACCTCTAACATACTATCCAATCAGATCAGTTAATGGTTAACTCAGTTACATGAGCTTCACTGAGCAGATAAAGGCTTCCTCCACATGACCGTGCCATCAAGAACCAACACCCAGAACATCCCTTATAATAATTACTGACTGTTTTATTCAAAATATTTGGTTATGGTTATGACCGGGCTGATTATTAGGTCTAAAAACACTTGGATTGTAGCCTGTATCCTGCAGTACAGCATATTTATTTTCCAACAAACAGACAAATGAATACACTTACAGGAGAGAATTGTATAACCTAGTGCTCACTATCTGATTTTGATATACTATCAGCGTTCAGCTTGACTTGAAGGCCCTTTTGAGAGTCAGAGGGATTATTATAGGACTTAAATTGTTTCCTTCGCAAAATAAGGATTATAGAGCTAGTTTATTATCCTCATTATCAGTTGCTTACCTGCAAACTGCAAAGCTCTTCTCATAAATAAGGAAGCCCAGAATTATAGCGTGGCATCAAATCAAATTAAGGTCAGGGACAAAGAAAACGTTGATGCTTGATAAGACATTTATTAAGTTTAGTCTCCCAATGCTTGCTGAAATAAGATCAAATGGTGTTCCCATTCACTGCAATGTGTCAGGAGGATGTATTCATAGTTTTACATTTTGGGAAATATACTTATTTGCTTTCTTGCAGAGAGTAAGATCAAAAGAAGTCTCTGCACGGTTAGAACTGGCTGATCGCTGTAGCTTCATTTTTAAGGAGCATATTTATATTCCCTAGCTGTTTATACTATCAATATGACAAAAAGACCTTTAAATGGTTAAATTTCCTCCGCAATGTGTGCTTCTACAGCCTAAGGCCATTTCAGGTCAAATTCTGAGGAAAAACTCGAAAGATCCAGGCGAAGTGGCATATCTGTTGAAAAAACGTTCAAATATACTAGATAAACGGAGTTGCATCACTTCCCTTTGAGAGCTGTTATTAACCTCATCACCACACTGAGTGTAGACACTGTGTCCGTTGTTTGTGGAAAAAACGTTTTTTTATATGTATTTTTAAAAGTTATAAAGATAAGATTATGGTTTCTTACATTAGTGACTTCC